ATATTCTATGTGAGTACTGCCTAATGCAACGTTTAACAGTTTCTGGGGATTTGCCAAGGTCGAAAAGTCTGTTATCACCTTCTAAGTGCTCTATTACACGTCTAATGATGACATGAAGCTGGCACGGAAAGGATGTTCATGAAAAAGGACTGTAATTCAATGATTTGCTTCGGTTCCTTTTTTGTATAAAGCAATAATGTTAGCCCTTACCCAGCTTTTTTAAACGACTTCAGTTTTAATGTTTTATCGAATATGTACTTTAGATATATAGCTATATCGTTGACAGTTTTTTCAGTATCTCGCATAATATTTGACCCGTGTCATTTATTTTCATTGGGTTAACATTTTTTAGTAGTTTCACTACTTCTTCTTCTTTGCTGATTTTTGTGTTGCTGATGGCTGGGGCAATTGCCTTCCCGAAATCTTGTAAAGTATCTATATTTTCGTCTGTGAAAATCTATTCGAACCGTCTTTTGCTTTCTGTGTGCTACTCTCCAGGATTACGGCATTAACATTGAGCATTGACTCCCCATTATTATCTTGCTTAGCTTATTTTATGTATGACCAAAATATCTTGACTATTCCTACTTTGACGATTGAGTTTTTGTCAATGTTAGTAATATCATTCTTTATCATTTGATGTCCAGTAAATGTTTTGTGTATATCAGGTTTTCAATTTCATTTCGTCGTGTGAATCTTAAAGTGTTTTATATGTCTACTTTTGATGAAGATATCTATATATTTGAGATCCAAGTGTAATGGCCTATCTCCCTATACAACTAGAATACGAGGTTTCTACACTCTACCAGTTTTTGTCAGAACTACACAGTTCTATCTCCACACTCCCATTGGATTATAATGTCTAAATCATCTAGTTAGTACAGAGAAAAGTATTTTTAAAGTGTTGTATCTCCACTATTTCTATAGAACTTTTGCTGTTAAATAATTATTATCACAATTATCTTAGTAGTACTATGATTAAATGGTTTGCATGGTTTGAACTCAATCTATGAGCAATTCTTAGCAAATCAAGCAGTACAGAATTGGGGACATTACAACGTTAAAAATCCATGGTCTATTTCCAATGGAAATATAGTGATACACTTCTATAACTAGATTGTTTGACGTGAAATGTTCTAGGATGCTTTATTTATCTAAGTTTCTCGTCTATTAAAAAAAACAATCAAAAAAGATTTACTCTTCATGTACGTAAATTCGATTCCTTTATGTCTTAGTCAAATATTTATGATATTGAGCCTTTATACTTTTATTTGAATTGTAATCACTATTACCAAATAGGAAATACATCATTATAAGATTCACACGACAATTTGTTGTATTAACTTACTTTCCAAAGAGATCTTAAAAGTTTTGCATGTCCTTTCTTTTTTTTGTGTTCTTTCGCTATCGGGACTAAAACCCCTTTGCTTCCAAAGTAAAAGCCCTCAACAACTTTGATCAGCCATGTTATATTCCATCTACTACTGAACATATTTGAAAGTATGTGTTCATTCATAAGCTTTGTCAAATTGGATTTGAATGAGTCCCAGCATATGTCAACAGATCAAACTTTCAGCGTTTCATTTACGTAATTCCTAATATTATTCTTTCCGTTCATCCATCTCTTACTCCTAGCATGTTGCCTTTAGAATACAGGAATACTTTTCTGTGTGGTTTCCTATGGGGTTTGGTGTTTATTTCTTTATCGATTACCACTGCTTAAAACCAGTCATTCCATTTTCATTCGATGTTTTCTTTATCATATGGTGGTGGGGGGTTCACACATTGGTCTAGGTTGTGGTCTTATGTTATATTGCATACTAGTAGCTTAATATTTATTTCTGAATTATATTGTGCCCTTGTTTTGGTTTTTACTTCGTCATCTCAGGAAAAGTCTGGATCATTAAAGTCTCCGGTATTTAAGTGAATATTTTTGGTAGTGCCTGGCTATGGGTAATTCAATTTAGTGATTGGTCTAACTGTATACAGGGGTTTATTTATTTTCATTTATACTATATTCCAAGCTAGCTCATAATATTGCATTTAGCGCTCCACTCTTCGTGGCCTTCAACAAACATTTTGTCTTTCTCTAAACTTAATAAAAGTAAGGGTCTAGTATTTCAGATGTTTTTAATTGTCCAAGTGGGTTTTATGGGGTTTAAACTGATCGACAAGTATCAGGAATTGTAGACGATTGGACTGGCTTCAGAAACTTCCACAGTTCAAATTCAAAAATCATAATGTTGTTTTTTGTAATCATTTACCTAACTCCTATCTTCATTATTCGCTGACATCATATACTCTGACGTATTTAATGTATCAAACATCACAGAATCCTAAAAAGTAAAATCACAAAAATACTGAACTCCGAGGAAAATTCAAAAAGGAAAGTTCCTAATCAAATGGCAAAATCAAAAGCTCAAACACATCAAACGAATGGATAACAACTGTCTTATTCCTGACTTGGTAAAGGCATTTTCTTATGTAGAAAATGGTGGATTGAACCTGGTTTTATAGCTAGCTAAACCTCTCACTTGTATGACAGTCGCATCAATTTCCATTATATTGACAACGATGCGTGAACAAATCAAACAGACACAATAGGTAAAAATGTCAAAATTAGGGGTACAGCAGTCAACATTGTGTTATCATCTTAATCACTATAAAAACGACAAATGTAACAAAAAAGCACAAAAAGGCATACATCAAATTTAACATCCTCATTTTGCTTTTTTATTATACGATTTTATTTATCTATGTAAAATCCCCCCATAAAGGATGAAAGGTTTTAAGTACTGGCGTAGAATCGCGCGTTTGACGTCATACAGGTAGATATAAAATAATTTTGTCGCTCAAAGTATGACGGGATACATAAGTACAGAGTCATGTTAAATGGATATTACCAAAAAACAGACTTAACTGTAAAAGTAATATTAATAAAGACAAATAAGGGAATACTAGAACACGTTATTAAGATGATAAACAACGTCAGTACGCAGAATCTATACTTCAAGACCATCGTGTATTATTTGTGAAGTTGATACGGAATATTTATCAAGAAGGTCTTGGTACCTTAAGTTGATGTTTCATACATGGATTCATAAGGATTGTATGTATCTATAAGGTCTAGACAAAAAATACCGGTAGGATAGACATCGATCACATTTCGTAATAAGAGATATAAAACCCGTTTTGCAGAATTTGTTTCATTTGGAAGTATAAATTTCAAAATAGATTTATTTGAAAAAGTTGGTATCTCAGCACACTGCATACATCGTATTTTTAAGGGGAGGTATTCTATAATAGTTGTATACCATTATCTTTTTATAAACTGCTGAATTTGGTATAGTGTTTATCCCATCTACAAAACTAACATTTAGAACCATGTGTAGGTGTCAGAACTTCAAACCCCAGTTAACATTCTTTTAACTTAATTGATGGTAAAAAGTATACATGTGCTTTGATTTCTGATTTGAATCGTTTCACATTTCATCATGTTGGGGCCTGTTATAGATGACTATACATTATCAATATGGTTTTTTCTCATTGTTGAAGGCCATACAGTGACCCATAGTTGCTAACATCCACATCATCGGAAACTAGGTTTTTTTTAACATTTTGATACAATTCATATAGCATTACACTGACATAGTAATTGCTGCAACATTGAAAATTAAACTCCACATGCATTTCAGGCTAGGTTGTTATGTTGCACCTTTACAAGTCCTCTAAAGAGTACCCAATTTATCATCTCTTCACATAAAAGTAAGAACGAGAAATGAGATCTCACTAAAGACTGTTATGAGCTCAGATACTCCAGAAGGATAACAGGTTCTACTCCACTAATGGCATCAATTGTAATGTTTATGACAATTAAAACTTTAAACATGTCGCATTTCATGATATGTCATGAACAATAAAAGACAACAGAGTTGTTGCAAGGATCAATGGAACATATCAGTGGTCATGAGTGACACATATTGACTTAACAATAATCCAAAACATGATGGCATCCACAAAATCTAACAGAGGATATCAGTTGTACCATACAGAAGCCCGAGTTTAAAATCTTCCTGATAACCTGTGACCATCTATCAATGAAATAAGATAAAAATGCTGAATAGGAAACACAAGCTGTGAAATATTGTCTCAAATGAAAGATATGTATATTTCGTTTATACATCTATCAGTTCATATATGAAGATGGTAGTAGAATGTTGCTACATAAATATGTAATATTCACAATAAATTGATTAGTCATTCCATTTGTGGTAAGGTTAAGTTTTCAACCAACATTCATTGCCAATTTCTTGGTGTAAGTCAGAGTAAACTGTATCTGTGAAATATTTTTTTTTTATTTCAATGTGAAAGATGTGGGAGTAGAGCCAACGACTAAGTTAGGCATTATTTACAAAGCTCATATGGTACTCAGATAGTAGGTGACACTTGGCATGATTGAACAAGAGGACATAAGATATCTTTCAATTGAATAAATAAAGGCAACAGTAGTATACCGCTGTTCAATAGTCATAATTCGATTGAGCAAAAACAAATCTGGGTAACAAATTAAAAACAGGAAAACACATCAACTATAAGAGGAAAACAACGGAACAACGGAAACACTGAATTACAACAAAAGCAAATGCAAATGCCAACATACATAGAAACATACTGTGTGATAACAACTGCCATATTCCTGACTTGGTACAGGACATTTTAAGAAAAAATGGTGGGTTGAATCTGGTCTTATGGCTAGCCAAACCTCCTGCTTATATGGCAACGTTAAAAATGCAGCTAAATTGACAACACTGTGTGACAGGAATACAGTACAAACAAACACAAGAACACTCAGCACAGAGAAATACATAAATAAATAATATAATAGTACATTACAACATGTAAACCACAGAATAACAACGGACACCTCCCATGAATTTACGACAGATTCAAGACTGACAAATGTTCACAGCTTAGTAAGTCAAAGAGAGGTGAAAGACAAATTCTATCTTGTAATATTTTAATATAAATATATATACAATAAAATGAAACAATATTAACAAAACAAATAACATTTTCACAGCCTTACATGCTCTATGAAAACTACCAAATACATAAATAAGTTCAAACAAAACATATTCTATGAAAACTAACTGGTACATAAATACATTCAAATAAAACATGCTCTATGAAAACTACCCGGTACATAAATACATTCAAACAAAAAATGCTCTTTGAAAACTACCTGGTTCCTAAATACATTTAAACAAAACATACTCTATGAAAACTACCTCGACCATAAATGCATTCAAACAGTAATAATAGTTTTGTCAGTATCAAATTGAAAGTACATGTTATGTAATGACCTGTTTGGCATCCATTATGCTACCATGTTTAAAGCATTAGTTTCATTAGCTTTGTTTCTAATATGAATTAAAGATAAAAAAAAAAGCTAAATTTTTATGCTGACTTACTGAGACTTAATGAAGTAGCAAATATTTCAACAATCTTGGTTATTCCATGATGAAAAGTAATGAATATGAGTGGAATACATCAATATTTGATAGTTTTTACTAAAATTCAATACACTGTTCACTAATCTCTAAAATATAGTTTTATTCTCCCACTCAGAGTGGTACAAATGTCATAAAATATTATGTAGAAAGAGGTATATCCAGGTGATATATATAACTAAAATCTTTAAAAGATCAATAACAAAAATTTCTAAATATCACAGTAAAGTAGGAAAGTACCAAGAGTAATTTGGAGGGGTGCAAATGTTCTTACTAGCCTGACTTTTGAAGTGGTTATTATAATCATGTGCCTTTGAATGCACTTTTTCAGAAGCCCCACAACTCACAAAATATTTACAATTCTTATGCTAAAGTATGTTCTAGACCCATACATCCATAAGGTGGTTATGATTTTGCAGTAAAACTGTGAGTTAACTTCCTTGTCTACCTGAGTTTAACATAATGAGATTCAACTAAACAGATGTATTATCACAGATATCTTTGAGATCTTATGAGCACAATACTGGTATCAGTAATTTTAACCAATTATCAGGTTTTCAATATTAAGTCACTGAATAACACAAGCCTTAGATGCCTCCTGGTTCTGTTTTAGGCCAGTTTGAAATAATTTACCCTTTCCTGCAACAATAAAAGAAATATATATTAAATTGAACATGCAAACGTGAGATATACATTCAACGAGACAGCTACTCCACAACAATTAAACCAAACTAAGGGCTCATATGAGCCTGAATCCCTAACCAATCAAAATTTATCCTTTAATTACTGAAACAAGTTGAACTTTGGATGACTTTTCATCATTCTCCTAAAGTTTTAAAACAGTTAGCCATGTGGTTTTAGAGAAGATTTTTTCGTTTTCGCTCATGTCTACCATCAGATTGTAGACAAATAGGATGTTCAGTGGTTGTAGTTTGTTGGTGTGGTTCATAAGTGTTTCTCATTTCTCATTTTTTATATAGATTAGACCGTTGGTTTTCCTGTTTGAATGGTTTAACACTAGTCATTTCTGAGGCCCTTTATAGCTTGCTGTTCGGTGTGAGCCAAGGCTCTGTGTTGAAGGCTGTACTTTGACCTATAATGGTTTACTTTTACAAATTGTGACTGGGATGGACAACAACAAATGGAAGTTTTTAACGACCTTGACTGGCTATACAGCCCTTGCACAGTCGGCACTGGGATGGAGAGTTGTCTCATTGGCACTCATACCACATCTTCTTATATCTAAATGAGGATATTAGTGGATGACCTTTCATACATCATCCCTTCCTAGTTTTGTTAAAATAAGACAGGTTATTCAAAAGCAGAGAATGAAAGTAGTTATCCATAGAGTGTCAATTGGAAAAGTTGGTGTTGATAATTGATGATCAGGGTGATTTAAACCTTGACATATTGTATGGACACATCTCTATTGTTAAAGACTATGTGAAGACATCTAGATGTATTCTGCTTTCACATCATATTTCCTTTGTTCATATGCACATACAATTCTGTCTTGTTTGCATCCCATTCAAAATTAAATTAGGATTTAAAATAAGTCTTACAATCATGAACTTAAAGTTCCTATGCATTTTGCCTAAAGTTTTCATATGTTAAAATTAGACAATCAGTTTCAGAATGGACACTAAACAAGAGTGCACACGCTGAAATGTCTCGCCTTCTTTACTAACCATTGATTTTATGTTGATAGTCCTAAATATAAAGCTTTACTACAAGTAACACATAAACTTAACATGATCCAAGAAAATGAGGTCAAGGTCAGAAAAACCAAAAGAGAAATACATGTACACCTTACAATCATTCAATAAACCAAACATAGTTGACCTATTGCTTATAGTTTCTAAGAAACAGTCTTAACCAAGAACACTTAACATTGAACAATGAACCAGGAAAATGAGGTCAAGGTCAGATGAACCATGCCAAACAGACATGTACACCTTACAATCAATGTATGCATTAAATGTAGTTGACCTATTGCTTATAGTATCTAAGAAACAAACTTAACCATGAAAACTTAACAATGACCTTAACATTGACAAAAAAACCATGAAAATGAGGTCAAGGTCAGATGATACCTGCCAGACAGCCATACACTTTACAATCCTTCCATACAACAAATATAGTTGATCTATTGCTTATAGTTGAAGAAAAACAGACCAAAACACAAAACTTAACACTGAGAAATGAACCGTGAAAATGAGGTCAAGGTCAAATAAAACCTACGAGACTGACATGTACCTCATAAAATATTTCCATACACCAAATATAGTTGACCTATTGCATATAGTATTAGAAAAAAAGACCAAAACTCAAAAACTTCACTTTGACCACTGAACCATGAAAATGAGGTCAAGGTCAGATGACACCTACCAGTTGGACATGTACACCTTACAATCATTCCATATACCAAATATAGTAGACCTACTGCTTATAGTATCTGATATATGGACTTGACCACGAAAACTTAACCTTGTTCACTGATCCATGAAATGAGGTCGAGGTCGAATGAAAATTGTCTGACGGGCATGAGGACCTTGCAAGGTACGCACATACTAAATATAGTTATCCTATTACTCATAATTAGAAAGAAATTAACATTACAAAAAATGTTGACTTTTTTTTCAAGTAGTCACTGAACCATGAAAATGAGGTCAAGGACAATGGACATATGACAGACAGATATTTCGTAACATAAGGCATCTATATACAAAGTATGAAGCAACCAGGTCTTCTAGCTTCTAAAATATAAAGCTTTTAAGAAGTTAGCTAACGCGGCCGCCGGATCACTATCCCTATGTAGAGCTTTCTGCGACAAAAGACGCAGGCTCGACAAAAACTGTGATTTGCCATAGAGCTTCAAATAGAACTATGTGACACAATGCAACCTTGTTTGTCATTCAACCAACATTTATAAGGCCTTCATGTAGACTGTGAGTCTTCAAATTATCAATCCCCTTAAGTTTAAAAACATTTTGCCTTGTAGTTTCAGAGGAAAAAGTTTTTTTTAGAAAAATTGACAAATGCAAAACAAAGATTAACTGCTTCTGATTAGAACTAAATGATGCTTTTTTTCTAGAAGACCTTTCATACAAAATTCCTTCATAGTTTGGCTCAAATTTGGTAAGTGATTTCTGAGTGTAAGGCGGAAATGAAGAACAGTTTTCCAGTAAACAGAAGAGAATGTCAGATGGAAAGTGATGGCAACTGTTTATGTATTGAACTATAAAGACATTTAGAGGTCATAGAGTAAAGTGTTTTTTTATGTACTGAATTTTTTAGTACCATTGGTTATTCCAAAGCTTAAATCCTGTCTAATGTTTATTTGCCTGTTTAAAGTCAGGAACTTAATTAGGGGTTGATTGATGTCATATCTTCATGCATTTTTGTTATTGAGAGAATTACGTGTTGATGTTAAATAAAGGCAAAGAAAGAGCTTGTCATATTGTATGTCACGAATCCATTGATGGACCTGTAAATGTCTCAGTGATGTATACTCCACCTCTCCTATACAATATTTACCATGGTAAGTTTGTATTTTATCTGATAAACCATGTTTGCAACAGCATACAGTAAACAGTTTCTCGCTGCATTGAAGACCCATTGGTGGCCTTCGGCTGTTGTCTGCTCTATGGTCGGGTTGTTGTCTTTTTGACACATTCCCCATTTCCATTCTCAATTTTATACAATACTTTCAACTTATAATTCAATTAAAAAATCATAATTAGATACAAGTTATTCCCAATTATAGGAATTAGTAATAAGGAGAAACCAATATTCATTTTCCAAAACTTTATGGTAAAAATACAGGCTTTCACATATAACCTACTGTAAAAGACTAATAGTACTTATGACATGATCTATTACCTGATTTTTTGGTGATTTTATCTACCACTAGCAAATATTCAAAGAAGTCCAGTGTATGTGAATTGTCTCTGTCTACTTCTTCTATTGCTTCCTGTAGAGAGAATAAATTGTTATTAAAATTACTGAAACTTTTTGAAAAATAGGGTGAAAATAATGGAAATGAAGATATTAACTCATCAATTCCATTATTTATGTTGGATTAATCAAATCCTACAATAAACAGCTACGGCCACAGTATCCAAACTGCATCCATTTTACAAAAAGGGCAGAGGAAATCTTATAAATTTTCTTATAGACTAAATAATTCATGATTTTATAATTTGCCATTATACACGTCTTTCAACATAGCTAAGTATACTTAAATATACACAAAACAGTCACATAATATATCAACAGATAATGTCTCCAGTGAAAAAAGTAAAATTTACCGAAACTTTGCATGCGACGTCTACAAAAAGTCTTCTTTAAAAAATGAGAATTTAGAATATGACACAGACACCCATTTCATACAAAATGAAACAGACCATCAGTTATTAGATTTTTACAGATATGTTGTTAAAGTAAGTATGGGTGCAATTTCGGTACTCCTCATTACAGATTCTTGGATTGTTTAGCCATCAGTTCAAACCCATTTTCCTATGTTTAAGTATGGATTCAAAATTAAATTTGTGGAACTATATTGTAAATAAGGATACATCTACAAAATAAACGCAGATTGGAAATTTTTGTCTGTTTCTTGAATAAACGTAGGTGAAAAAACTTTTAAAATAGGTGCAATTTTGGTACCCTCAAGATCAACAATTTTCATCATTATGCCAAAGAAATTTTTCATATTCTGACAACAATAATTAAAAAGTTTGTAAGCAGTACACCCATATGTAATGAACAAAGAGAAAAAATTATTAATTTTTATGAATCTAAACACAAGTGAATACAAAGTCAGTTTACATACATGTAAAAATCCTTGAATTAACATTACTCAGACTAAGAACTGTAATGAATGTTGTCATGAAATAGAATTTTGAGTGTTCCAAATGGAAGAAATATTCTGAAATATTATTTCCACTGGAAGAAATATAACAGTATTTTCCCTAACAGAATATAGTGTATAGAATATATATTCCGATAGGGGCAGACATTATAGCATTGTTTATAACAAGTGCTTTCAGGTCTAAAATGTACATTTTAAATGACAGAAAATATGAAAAATATTGGAGCAGGTGCAAATCTTTTTTTTAAATAATGCTTTTACGGTAAGATTTGATCCAGAATACAATGTGAATTTGGCTAAAATTTATCCATTATGGTATTAAGTGTTTTAGAGATGTCATAACCATTATACAGGGTAGTGGGCTACTCTCACAATCTTCTTTTACAATCAAACATCTCATGTTCAAAGTTATTATAAAAACATGTTTTGTGTTAATTACACTGGTATACTGTACACTGATTGTCAAATAAATATGTCTGTTGTACTAATGGCTAAGTGATAGAGAACAAACCATTACTGAATTACCTCAATTTGATCTGGAGTATACTGGCATCCTATATTTTGCAAAATTTTTGTCACCTGAAATCATAAGAAATAAATAGAAAATAAGATAAATATGTTATAATTTTTTTTTTATTTCAACTGACCTTAATCAAATTTTTTCCAAAAAAGTTTTAGATGTTTTACTGATCAAAGTTTTCTTTGAAGTTCACTGAAATGTTTTTATAAATATAAAATAAATAAAAATTGTCAGAAAGTATACACAATTTTCTTTAAGGGTGCCTAAGAAACAAAAAGAAAAGCATCTTTTCTCTCAAGTTTATTAGTGGGTACAGAAATTTTATATTTTTTACAATGTAGATACCGGTATTTTGTTTTTACCTTGCATATTTTTTAAACAACTAGTTGAACTGTGATATTGCTCACAAATGATACTCCCACTGTACATATTTGGTAAATACAAAGTTTTTGAGCAATGGATATGAAAAGACACCATAGCATGCTCAAATTTCAGTAAGCTCTGATTTATTATTCCTGAGAAAAGTGTGACAAAATTTTCAAGGGACGGACAGAGGGAAGGACGTAAACCAATCTACTCCTTCCTTTCGAATGGTATTGGTTGGGGTGTATAATAAAGTATTGCTTAAACACTTAAACAAACTGAATGGAGAACACCATTATGTACATATATATGTACATGTACATACTATTTTCTTGATAACATAAACACTAAATGAAAAATTCTAATAACACTTTAAAAGTATATGTGAACATTGGTAATTGATGATAATGATAGATGGCTGTTAAACGTCCACTGGAAATTTAAATGTGTATCAGGACGAGATCATGATAATGTGATAAAAATATAAAAGCCTGCTTTGTATTTAACCTACAGGCAGGAAGACATGTCACCTTTCCCAGACTCCTATATGCTGCATGGATAGCAGAGAAGCAGCTAATACTAATTTTCAAATCTCAAGCTTGACCTGGCTTGGAATCATACCCACACCTCCTGCACTCAAAGCAAGCACATCACTGTTGCTTGTTGCTTCATACATAAGTTTGCCTTATTATGAACTATTTAATAATTTCTTCATAATACAAAACAACCATATTTTCTCTAGATTATTACCTCAAGAAGATCTAATGCTGAATCATTATCTGTATCATATTCTTTAAACTTTTTCCAATGATCAAGGACCTGGAAAAGAAGAAGTTGTGAATAGAGGGATAAATTAACCCTTTCCTCCATAATGACCTCTTTTGACACCCCTACCTTTCCTCCATAACGACGTCTTTAGACATCTCAACCTTTTCTCCATAAGGACGTCTTTTGACCTTTCCTCCATAAGGAAGTCTTTTGACACCTCACCCTTTCCTCCATAAGGACATCTTTTGACACCTCACCCTTTCCTCAATAATGCCTCCACCTTTACCCCCAAAATGAAACTTTTTGATGCTTTTGCCTTCAAAAACCTGTATCAGACTTTTTCAAATTTGTATCCAATATAAAAAGTATATACTTGAGAACATTTGACATGAATTTCCTAGATAAAATATTTTTGAATGCCATTCTTCATTTTTTAAGGTGATGATTTTTTTTAAACTTGATGTCACCATGTCTTTCAAAATATTTATTTCATTAAAGTAAGATTATTTCCAACATTTTATTGAAATATCCTATGTGAAATAGGTTCTGGTATCTACAAAAATATCTACATAGAGGAAAAGGTTAACTCCTAAAGGATGCATGCATGGCAGAAAGAAGGCACATACCAATCTTCAATTCTTTTGTTTGACCTGGCTGAAAATCTAATCTGTAATATTCTGCACTGGATGTGAGCACACTACCACAAGAAAACAGAGGCAGTTCAATTTACTGACACAGGATCTGTAGTGAATCAGACTTACCATGTGCTTGCCTTGGTTAATTATCAAAGTGCAAACCAGCAATGAAGGAAACTGTCTTGATTTGAAATATTTTTTTCATTATAATGATTAAAATGTAGTAAGAACACAACATTTCAAAGGATTGTGCTAGTATCATTTATTTATACATCAATATATTTGGGCGTTCAAAGAGAAACATGTCCTTGATGCACTGAATTCAGGAATCTCAGGTTGATGTCACAGTTCATTATTGTTTCTATAGAATGTATATGATGTAATGAATGTTTGTAAAAATGTTTGTAATATTTTACTTTTGAAAGTACAATTAAATACAGTTTTAAACTTATAAAATAGCGTTCTAATATCATATGATGTTAACATTTGTGGTGACTACATAGTACATACTTACAAAATGTTGTGCCATATGAGGGAAGTGCTGGAGGTATATCATGCTGTTGACTCTACCTGTATTTGGATTAATTATCACTGGATTTTCACCTGTAATGTAATAAGACATGTATTTGGATTAATTATCACTGGATTCTCACCTGTAATGTAATAAGGAATCAACTAGATCAGTAAAAAGTCAAGGCTTGAAAAACGTGTAGAAACATTAGAAATCATGACCTTACAAAAGAATAAAAATCCTTCATCAGTATACTTTTACTCACTTTAATTATGTGTTTCTACAATCAACATACAAATTAACCCAATCATTACAGAATTAAATAAATAAAACAACATTTCTGGTAGGTATGGAAATCTATATTGTGCAAATAATGTTTATACTGCTCCAACAGAGTTATGAGGTAGAATGTCTCAAATCGATGCTATATAAGTTTTACAGTCACCATCAAGAATTGGTTGATCGAAACCACGTGTATGTGATTTAAGCTACTAGCGACATGTTTTCCTGGTCTTAGATCTTTAGATACCAGATTAGTCATCCCATCTGTAAACCCTATTCCTGATAATGACATGTTGAATGAGTATAGATCTGCATGGAGGGTGATGTATCCATAGCAGGAGATGCTAACACTGTTGGCACACCTGGTCCTTTTGAAGTTCATGCTATTCCCTCATTTTTTGTTTTTTTTGCCTTGATTTGTCTTTCCTTAATGGATTTATGAGATGTGAACATTGATTAACTACTGTTGTCTCTAATTAAACCATTATTTGTCAATTTTTACAAGTCTCACATGACTACTTGAAATAATTTGTTGAGGAAGGGAAATAGGGATGCTTTTCCACCAAAGTTGGGTTTGATCTCTGTCAGAAAGACTCAGTATGGTCTTCAGAGGGAACTTCAATATTAAAATGAATATGTAGGATATATGGAGATGACAACTATGCAATTCACAAGTGAAAAAAATGGTATATACTGTCAGCAGAAAATATCAATATACTAAGTTATTTTAATACATACAAACAACATCTAACTTTCTTGTTGGAGTAGGTGTTTCTGGTATGCTGGTAATTTCTCCATTGCTTGTCTTACTACCTAATGTTCCCAATGCAGCACCAATAGTAGGTAGTGGTGTCCTAATCTCTGTAGGTCTGAAGATAGGATAATTTAACAACAAATGTAAATACAAGAAAACTTTACATTAGGTATTGACAACAATGAGACCATTGACCAATCTCAAGTGGTATTTTATGAATGAGTTACTGGTTGACCCAAGGTCATTGAGCAGTCAGTTCTTCCAGTGATGTAATAACATAAGCATTGTCACATAGGAAATGAATAGGAAAATGCACAAATATGAAAGTTGTCTATTGATGCCAGTAATGAAAAGTTGAATCCATCCCAATACCAAGGGTACATTTTACATAGTTCCGCATTTATCATGAAATAAAGGGGATTCAATTTTCCATGTAGGCCGTAAATTTATAATGGAAAAAATCTGACCTCAGGATAAGCTTCCAACATTGTATTGTAGCCACTAAAGTTTCTGTATGTATTCTCATTTCTAGATGAATTAATAAATAACTTATATCCACTCACACAATTGTAACCTTCAATAATAATAAATGAGTATGTTTTTAAATCAACTTACATCATATGGGGTACTGATGCTGCTTTAGACAATCTTCTTAATTTTCTTACTTTTAGTTCCTAGGGAAAAAAATCATTAATGAAATGTACCAGTTATCAATCCTACACTCAAAAATAAATGCTATGCAACAATTTCCACCTCAACATAGATTAGTTGTAAAAAAGAGAACACTTTGACAATAATAATAATATCATTAGAATTCCAATTGTAAGCAATAGGGAATGTCACTCCCTGGCAACAACAGCCTTTTGTGACATTCCAGTCAGATGGCTTATCTTCACATGACAGGTCAAATTTCTGTAAAGTTTCAAAAAGGATTGGTAGAATTTTCAAATTTTTAACATTTCCGCTGTTTCCATGGTAATGACAGTCATTTTGAAATTCCAGTTATATGGAATAACTTCTTACCCTCCCAAGCAACCAGAGATCACGTCTAATTTTTGGTGTGTTTGTGTTGCTTATTCTTTAGTTTTGTATGCATTGTTTTCTGTATGTCTTTTGGTTATCTTTCATTTTTTGTCATGGTATTGTCAGTTTTCCTTTGACTTATCAGTTTTGAATGTCCCATAGGTATCTTCTGCCTATTTTTTCTCTGCTAAGTAGTACCTTATATATCCTGACTTTATGTTGAGTTAGTTAGAATATGGTTAATTGACCTTGTCATAATATGTATAATGTGGTGGTAGCATGTTCTTTATGATAGCAAGCCTTCCCTCAGCAGCACTATTACATATCTTGTCTATATGTTGAGTTAGTTAGAGTATGGTTAATTTACCTTGTCATAGTATGTATAATGTGGTGGTAGCATGTTCTTTATGATAGCAAGCCTTCCCTCAGCAGCACTTTTACATATCTTGTCTATATGTTGAGATAGAGTATGGATAATTTACCTTGTCATAGTATGTATAATGTGGTGGTAGCATGTTCTTTATGATAGCAAGCCTTCCTTCAGCAGCACTATTATATATCTTGTCTATATATTTTGTCAATTTAACGAAATCAGGATCCCTGATATGTTCTTCTTCTATGTAAAACTTTTCACTCAAAATACTGTAAAATAAGAAATAGAAAAACTTTTTAATGCAAATGTGAGCATCATAACCACAGCTTACAGTGTTACACATCCTTAAAGCATAAATAGCATCATCTGTTTATATGCATGCACAGCAACAACATCAAAAGTTAAAGGTCTTGCACAGTAACTGTCACAGCTTCACTTTTCTAGGGTCAACCTTATACTGGATACAACTCATTTCTTAAATTAATGTGGGTCTGGTACTTGAGATATAATATTGAGAACCTTGGATGATGAAGACTAAAGAGCCAGTGTCGCTCACCTAGTTCTATGTGCATATTTAACCATGGATACTCTCCATGATTGTAGACAAGAATAGAATTTGTGACAAAAATCTCTTATTTGTTGATCTTTTATTGCTGGTAACTTTTCTGTTTACAGTTTCTGTCTACTAACTTTAGTTTTTGTCAAAACACTAAAAAAGGTAAAAGTTCATCTAAGGGCAATCACTTCTATAAGGAGTCTTAATGATTCTAAACAAAATTTGACTTATTTGTAGATCTTACTTGCTGATCATTTTTGTAATGTGATGTGTCTATCTACCTTTTATAATTTTCATGAGAACAGGCAAAAACATAAATATTGGTAAAAATCGTCATTAAAGAGCAATAACTCCCATATGGAGCCGACTCACTATTTCGGCAAGGTTGACTTATTTGTAGATCTTGTACTGATGATATTTTTTGCTTATTTAAGTTTCTATTTATCTATGATAGTTTTTCAGAAATTATGCAAAAACGTAAAAAAATGGTAAAAATTGTCATTAAAGGGTAACCACTCCAATGAAGGGTCGTCAGAAGATTTCAACCATGTTGGACTTATTTGTAGATCTTGTCTTGCTGATCATTTTTGCTGTTCAAAGTTTCTCTCTAGCTATTATATTTTTTAAGATAAAAGGCAAAAATGAAGAAAATTTGTAAAATTTATCATTTAGGGCAATATCTCCTATAGGAGTCAGCTGACAGATTTGATTGAAATGGACAGTTGGTAGATCTCATTCTTCTGAACATTTCTGTCCCTGTCAGATTTTCTCTATGCAAAAATACTGAACTGCGAGGAAAATTCAATCCGAAAGTCCCTAATCACATGGCAAAACCAAATGACAAAACACATCAAACGAATGGACAACAACTGTCATATTCCTGACTTGGTACAGGCATTTTCAAATGTAGAAAATGGTGGATTGAACCTGGTTTTATAGCGCTAAACCTCTCACTTGTACGACAATCGCATCAATTTCCAAAGTGGTTTTCAAGATAATAGACAAAACTTGCATTTTACCCCTATGTTCTATTTAATGTCATATCCGCCATGTTGGTTAGCACATTTTAGACTAGATACCCTAATGATGATTGTGGCAAAGTTTGGTTAAATTTGGCCCAGTAGTTTCAGAGGAGAAGATTTTTGTAAAAGTTAACGACAATGAAGGACGCCTAGTGATGAGAAAAGCTCACTTTGCACTATGGGCCAGGTGAGCTAAAAAATTATGTCATAAATCATGTCAGTACCTTTACACTAAATTCTGAGCTGATGATACCCTAGGGGACTAACAGTCCACCAGCAGTGGTGCTAGACCAAACTCTCAAACCCAAACATTTGAAAGCCAAGGATGTATAAACACCTGAACACAATGTAAAATACCATTACTTACTTGACATCAGTTCTAAATACATGAACATGTGGTAAAATACCATTACTTACTTGACATCAGTTCTAAATACCTGAACACATGGTAAAATACCATTACTCACTTGACATCAGTTCTAAATACATGAACACATGGTAAAATACCATTACTTATACTTGAAATCAGTTCTAAATACCTGAACACATGGTAAAATACCATTACTTATACTTGAAATCAGTTCTAAATACCTGAACACATGGTAAAATACCATTACTTACTTGACATCAGTTCTAAATACCTGAACACATGGTAAAATACCATTACTTACTTGACATCAGTTCTAAATACCTGAACACATGGTAAAATACCATTACTTACTTGACATCAGTTCTAAATACCTGAACACATGGTAAAATACCATTACTTACTTGACATCAGTTCTAAATACCTGAACACATGGTAAAATACCATTACTTACTTGACATCAGTTCTAAATACCTGAACACATGGTAAAATACCATTACTTACTTGACATCAGTTCTAAATACCTGAACACATGGTAAAATACCATTACTTACTTGACATCAGTTCTAAATACCTGAACACATGGTAAAATACCATTACTTACTTGACATCGGTTCTGATTCCACCAATTATACCTAAAACTACTTTTTGTTCTGAGTAAAACTGATCCTCTAAATGAGCTATATCCTGTATTAAACAGAAAAATTGCAAGAAGTGAAATAATCCTCTAATATAAAACAATTATTTCATGAAACAAGAAACATGAAACTTTATGGTTTGAAATATGATAATAATGCTCTATCTGTAATATTATCAACTATACATGTTTGTTCAATACTGCTGTGGTTTGTTTAAGGCATTTTCAACAGCATCTTATAGTTTTAAAATCTGTACAAAACAAAGTTCAGACATGTTTTTTCTGTAATTTTGTATTAAATCCATAGGCAAGCACTACTGTGATGTTTTTCAATAAAGTAGCAAAAGAAAATTTACATGAAAGTGTCAGATTGAAGTTCAATATCATTTATAGGTAATTAATGAATATGCCTTACCTTATCTTTAACATATACTTCTCGTTTTAATTGTTGTACCTCATCTGAACCTCCTAAATTACAAAAAGAAAATAGTGCATTATTTCATACACATGTTCTATTTTTTTCATATGCAAATACTACAAGACATCTATCTCAACAACTAAACTAAACTTGGTAAGTCTATTATCATAAGTCATTTTCCTTTTATCATTAACTATATATTTAATCATACATTAATAATTACATTATGGTAAAAAAACTTTGTTCAAATGAACACGTGACCTAATATCCTTAATTCAATAAAAAAAAACTGCCGATCACAAGCATATTTTTACAAAATTAATATTTCAAAATTAATTATTTATTCCTTCTGAGAACTTTCACATTTAGAACTATGACAATACAGAACTAGAGTCTTAGGAAGTATTGGAATGTAGTGATTGTGAGCTAATTATTTGTTACATATAACATTACATTCTAAATATACAAAGGAAGCCAGCAGAGAGTATAAAATAGTTAAACTAAGCTAGAAGAACTACTACCAGATAAAGACTAAGTTACATATATTTTATAATAATTAACTGTAAAGGACTTTGTAAAGACAGAAAACAGCCATTATTCAGTAATGGCTGCTAAAAGTGCACCACTCTGCTGAAAGTGCAACTGCTCTGCTAAAAGTGCAGCCGCTCTGCTAAAAGTGCAGCCGCTCTGCTGAAAGTGCAGTTTCTCTGCTAAAAGTGCAGCCGCTCTGCTTAAAGTGCAACTGCTCTGCTAAAAGTGCAGCCGCTCTGCTGAAAGTGCAGCCACTAATTTCTTTCTTTTTAAAAATGGGATAACAGCAAATACTGGTACATCAATAAGTAAGGAGATTTTAAACTACAGTATAATTGAAATAGCTAACAATGATAAATACAAAGAAGTTCTACTAAGAAAGAAAAGGTATAAGTAGACATATCAAGCTAAATGCAAAGCAATGAAGTTTATAGGTAAAGATATTGTAGTTTGTTTACCTAAGTCACCATCCACACAATCCTCTAATTAACAGAAGATATATATTCTATTAACACAAATCCACAAAATCCTTGAATAATTATAGCTATTCCAGTAAGCACCGATTTAAATTGCTAAAAATCATTGTGAAATAAAAGATAAATTTTTCCAGTTTTGACAAATTTTGCATTTTCTTCGATGTTTATTTACAATACTAATAAATACTGTAAAACAAATTTTATTTATCTATTTGCGGTCCAACATTATATGATTTTTCTCTGCAAAACGAGGATCCAAAAATCAAATAAATTACATGCTACATGCAAGCTTAACAGCCGCATTCATTGGCATGAAATGTTGATGTCTATAGTATTCTAAAATGTAAATTTTTCATACTGTATCTTTTTCCTATTAAATGACAGGCATATGTAAAAATTTCATCTTTTGAAAAGTTTACAAAGTGCAATTATGTTTCGAAATTATTTTTTTTCACAACCCCACTTCTTTGGCCACAAGGAACAAAAATGACTAAAATTTCTTATTTCAAGCCTTCTTTGTAAAATTGGGTTGCTGTTGCATATTTTTTCCACCATACCCCTCCTTTTACTAATAAAGCATTTGTTTACCATTTTTGATAGTGGTGTTAGAACTTGCCAATTCTGTTTTGGCAGCAGAAGCATCTAACCACTGTGCCATGTATAAAAAGTAAAATTACAAAAATACCAACCTCTGAGGAAAATTCTAAACAGAAAGTCCCTAAGTAAATGGCAAATTCAAAAGCTCAAACACATCTAACGAATGGATAACAACTGTCACATTCCTGACTTTGTACAGGCATTTTCTTATGTATAAAATGGTGGATTAAACCTGGTTTTATAGCTAGCTAAACCTCTCACTTGTATGACAGTCTCATAAAATTCCATTATATTGACAACGATGTGTGAACAAAACAAACCGACATAATAGGTAAAAATGTCAAAAACAGGGGTACAGCAGTCAACATTGTGTTATAATCTTGATCACTACAAAAACAAGCAAATATGTCAACAAAGACAAACAAAAAGGCATATAGACAAAGCACATTAGCAAAAACGAAAGACAAGAATACATAGCACAACAACACAATGACTGGATGTACAAGATATATATGATTAAGAAAAGAAGTTAAAATTTCATTATTTAACTCATTGGTACAATGACAAAAAAAGCATTTATGAAATATAACATTTGGAATCAATGATGAGAAGTTTAAATCTTAAGGGGATACGATACAGTTACAGGGGAGGTAATGACATCACTAACGTAATATCTTATTTTTCGTGACGTCAAATGGCGACATATTGGGAAAAGATTCATTTTTCGAGTTATTTTAATCATTAGCTTGAAAACGAGTATATGGACCCCTTTTTTTCAAAAAGAACATTTGACTTGATACTATATGAAGATTATTTGTTACAAATTTTATGAAAAAATCACCAATGAGTTTTTTAATAAATAGATAAATATGCAGCAAAAAATTCCGTTTTTTACCAAAATCATGAAATTTTAATAAAAATGAATTATTTTCAAGAAATAGTTACACGAATTAAGAGCATACTTTTGTCAAGCAGATATTCCAAATCTTTTTACAAAAATCCGCATGTGATTATCTTTTGAAACAAAAGAGTTAAGTATGTCTCCAAAGGATAGAAATGTCCAAGAAATGGAAATTTTAAGCAAATGCCTAAAATTTCGACCCCAATTATCTTTAAATTTAGCACATAAAGGTACATTTCTTATTACATATTTGAATTAAGTAAGCGAAAAATAGCTTGTATGCAAATTTTCATAAAAAAATCACTGTGGGATCAAAACTGTATCGTATGCCCTTAAAGAATAAACAAGACATATGTTAAACAATGTTATTTAAAGCGGTCAATCCTATGTTTACTTTGTCAAAGCTGTTTTGCAAAATGTCACAACACTGGTGAAATTGCTTAGAGGGAAGTTTGAACTTAGGATATTCATGGATAAAGACAACCAAAACCAGTTGCAACAACAATTTCAATATCTTTCAATACTTGTTAATGTTTTTAACTCTTGATAAAATTCAAACTAAACTTGTTTTTATCATATGTATGGTTACCTTAGATTACCTTAGCTGTATTTGGAAAAACCTTTCGAAATTTTGGGTCCTTAATGCCTTTCAACTTGACTCTTTATTTGGCCTTTCAACTTTTTGATTCGAGCTTCAACAAGTCTTTTGTAGATGAAACACATGTCTGGCAAACAAGTTTATAAGCCTGGTACCTTTGAAGATTTATTTTTATGCAGTACAAGTAGATAATTAAACTATTCTATAACACATTTCTACTTAAATTTTTTACTTCAATATCAATTTTCAAAGAAAAAATCCATGGAATTGTAGGTTTTGTATGGATTATATGGTGATTTTTTTTATATAAATTCTTAATTTTATTACCTCCATAGCTTGTCCTTTCCTGTTTCAATTTTAAAATCTTGTTTTGATCATCTATGCACTGTAAGATAAAAAATTCTAAACATTCTCAGAATTCAGCCATTTAATTCATTCTTTATAATTAATCTAATCATATGAAAAAGACTTTTTGAAGTGGTTCCACAATCGCCATCTTGTTTCTGAAATATTTTTTGCTTTTAAAAAATAAATAAGCAGAATAACTTTTGTATCCCAAAACTTACACAAAAAATTACTTACTCCATACATCAAAATCGTTAAAATTATAACAAAGATATGATTTAAATAAAAAATTAATTGGCCAATGCATTTTTGATCTATGATTATTTTCACATACTTTGAGCAACTTTTCAGTGAGCCAAAACTCCTATTCTTTCATTGTGACTTATCAGTCACTTGAAGTCACATTCTCTGCATCAAGTCACATTTCTCGGAGGTTATAGTGATGCTTTACATAAAGTCACATTTCACAGAGGTTACAGTAAATTCTCTATATCAAGTCACATTTCAGGGACAACACTGACGTATGACAAAGTAACAAAACAAAACATCAAGTAAAATTGCCTGACAACTTACCGACATCCTTCTAGTTGCTCTCTGTTTACTGGCTTTCATCTCCATTATTTCTTCCTCTAATTCTTCAATCCTTAACAAACAAACACACACACATACAGGTACAGTAATAGTTTCTAAATGGCAAGGATATCACTGGTCATCTGTGACACAAATATTCAAAAAATAACCAATCAAATCATGAGGGTGGCAGTAAAACCTCTGGAGAGATGACTACAACCTTACCATTAAGAACCCTTTGCGCAATAGCTTCCATGTTAGCAGCAACACTCTATCATGGAAATCATCATGGGGAATGCAAGCCCTGGAATATTGTATCAACTGGGAGATATATACTCCATAGGTAGGAGCTGCTGGAAGTACTTCATAAAAATGGAAAGTTCATAAGGGAATGTATGTGATTAAAAAGAGGGAGTGTTTAGTATCAAAAGTGATTAAACCCTCCAACATGTTAATTTGCATGTCCCAAATCAGAGGTTGTCTCAGACTATAATTTAACTTAATTTGTCATAACTAGAATTTGTGAGTCATGGCAGATCAGTGATAGACAATTCTGAGTTTAATGAGAGGCATAGCTGGAAACAATAGATATTGGTCCCAGGGCATAAACGTTTGTCTATTGCTGCAGAAAATGTGCCCCCTAAATGTCTTTTAAAGATTTATTGTGTTTTAAGATTGCAATCTCATTGACATATACTGTATATTGCTTTTTATATAAATTTCTAAAATGCTGGACAAATTCTTTTAATATATATACAAATGAATTCTATGCAAGTATGCCACATGGATTGAATTCCATTATCATACTAGAAACTTACTTTTTATTTGCATTTTCTAACAATTTCTCCTTTTCTTTTGCAGATAATTGCACAGTTTTGTCTTTCAAAAGCCTACAATATAACAAATGTCCTTATGCAATCTTTAAGCACTACATGATTTCTGAAAAATCTTTTCTGCAATCTAAATAAAATAAATTTTTTGATTGATTGATTGGTGTTAAATGCCACTTTCAGCGCTATTGTGCTATTTCATGGCATTTAAGATTAGTCGAGCGCACCTGTCACGTGCAGAATTTGACCTGACAAGCTCAGTGTTTTTTTAACAGTAATGATCTCGTCAAAGGTAGATAACCCTAACAAGTTTCACATTCAATCATCAACAACATTCGGACGCATGAAATAGTTAAACGTGTTGTTTTCAATTTTTTATTAATTGTCAAACTAACTATTCAAAGGTAGTTAACCCTTTAAATACAACTGAATCATGGTCAAACTACAAACAGTAATATAACTTTTTAAAGATAGTTAACCCTAATAAGTTTCACATTCAAACAACTTCATTGTTTGAATATAAGTAAAAAAATATTGCGCTTTACAATTGTGTAATTACTCTGTAATTTTATTTGTTTTCTCTTCCACCATTTTTTCCATTAAGTTAACTTTTCCCTGTAACTTAGCAAATTCCATCTTTCTATCAGCATTCTCCCTCTTCTCATCAAGTAACTGTTGATACAAATCTGTTGTTTTATCTACAAAGCACAAATTATAAAGAGAAGGAAAAAATACATTCTGATTTAATTGTCATATAACAAAAATGTAAAACTACTGATTTATATTTAGCTGCACAAAGCTGGAGAGATATACATAGTGAAATTTTTTACATACCAATCAATACTAATGCAAGCTACTCTCAAATCGTATTTTCGTGTTAATTTGACCTGTTGACATAATTTGTAATGCATTTCTGTAATTCAATTTTTACTTATTTTGTGTTACATAAAATTGAGAATGGAAATGGGGAATGTGTCAAAGAGACAACAACCCGACCACAGAACAGACAACAGCAGAAGGCCACCAACAGGTCTTCAATGCAGCGAGAAATTCCCGTACCCGGAGGCGTCCTTCAGCTGGCCCCTAAACAAATATATATACTAGTTCAGTGATAATGAACGCCATACTAAACTCCAAATTGTACACAAGAAACTAAAATTAAAAATAATACAAGACTAACAAAGGCTAGAGGCTCCTGACTTGGGACAGGCGCAAAAATGCGGCGGGGTTAAACATGTTTATGAGATCTCAACCCTCCCCCTATACCTCTAGCCAATGTAGAAAAGTAAACGCATAACAATACGCACATTAAAATTCAGTTCAAGAGAAGTCCGAGTCTGATGTCAGAAGATGTAACCAAAGAAAATAAACAAAATGACCATTATACATAAATAACAACAGACTACTAGCAGTTAACTGACATGCCAGCTCCAGACTTCAATTAAACTGATTGAAAGATTATGTCTTCATCATATGAATATCAGGCACAATCCTTCCCGTTAGGGGTTTAGTATCATACCATCATAACATATATGAGAAGAACATAACCCGTGTCCATATCTCTTCTCACTATTTTTAATATGAACCACCTTTGATAAGTATTTAGTATGATGATAACTTTTCACTTCTGTACTCGTACTCTGAACAATAAATTTATTAATTTTGTAAAATATGTTTACTTCCGTACTCCTAACAACAAGATTATTATATTTAAATTAACCTGTGTACGTTGATTTATTTAACACCATTTTGTCCCAGGTAAGAGTTGTCTTACTGACACTCTTCCTACATCTTTTTTATTAATACCTGTAACGTCTATGTTATATAGGCACCTACATTTTAATATAGTATTTATATTGTGTCATAGATCAAACTTATTAGTTCAGTGTATGTTTACTTGATTTTGTTTAAATGCCTTTTTGATCGAATTAAGCCATTTCAATTGATATTTTATAGTGTGTCTTTTTATGTTGTAATGTTACACTACTGTCTCAGGTTAGGGTGAAGGTTGGTGCCTCTTAAAACGTTTAAACCCCCTGCATTTTTATGCACCTGTCCTAAGTCAGGAGCCTATTGTTCAGTGGTTATCGTTTGTTGGTGTGGTTCATAGGTGTTTCTCGTTATTTATATAGATTAGACTGTTGGTTTTCCTGTTTGAATTGTTTTACACTAGTTATTTTGCAGTTTTGAATTTTCATAGCATTATTTGTAATCTGCATTTTCTGAAATCCCAGTTAACAATCTTGCATTTGCGTCTGTTTTTCAACAATTGCTATAATAAATGATTGCAAATATTCCTGAGTTTACAATATATAAAACAGACATAGCATAAAGTTCTGTTTTTTTCTTTTCCTTTCCTTTTATCTAAATACCATAAACTAGGATAAGAAATAAGTCATGTGTTTCACCAAATCCCATACTGTGTTTATTTAAATTACAATTTTCACTCACTTCTCATTTCATCATGTCTAGCTTCCAACTGCTGCATTTCTTGGGTTTTTTGCTGGAAAAACACGAATATATTTTAAACAAGTATCAAATGTCCAAGTTTTTATTAATACATTTAGCGAAGCAAAATTTTTCAAAAAAAATTTACCAATCTGATTATATTTCAATTATGAAAAAGCTAATGACATTTAATCCTGATAGGATACCTGGTTTTCTTTCAATACAAACAAGAAATGATTGTAACAGGATGCTGTTACGAAGTCTCCCAAACGAAGCTCCCATAATTCGTAATTCCCAGTGTCGCCTGACATTGGACAAAGTCCAGTGAAAATTGGTTTGGTCCAGTAAAGTTAATGCATTAGTGATGCCTGGGGACTAACCCTGTATATCATTCAAATCATCTTGGCATGACAAACCAGAATATATATGGTTTAGGGGTGGGGATCTCGACCATTTACAAGATACTAGAACATTGGGGGTGGGGGGAACCCCTGGGGACTGACCCTATTTTAAATACATAAACAATTAAACATAAATGTTCGAGAAACAACGAACAGGAATATATATGGTCTAGGGGTGGGGATCTCCACCATTTACAAGATATTAGAACATTGGGGGTGGGGGGAACCCAGTGGGGACTGACCGTATGCGTCATTCAAATGTTCGAGACATGATGAACAGGAATATATATGGTTTAGGGGTGGGGATCTCGACCACTTACAAGATATTAGAACTTTCTTAAATAGCAGGGGGTGGGGTGACCCCTGGGGACTAACCCTGTATATCATTCAAACCATCTTGGTATGACAAACCAGAATATATATGGTTTAGGGGTGGGGATCTTGACCACTTACAAGATATTAAAACTTTCTTAAATAGCAGGGGGTGGGGGTGACCCCTGGGGACTAACCCTGTATTTCATTTGATGTGCTTTATCATGACAAACCAGAATATATATGGTTTAGGGGTGGGAATCTCGACCATTTACAAGATATTAGAACTTTCTCAAATGGCAGGGGGTCTGGATGACCCCTGGGGACTAACCCTGTATATCATTCAAACCATCATAGCATGACAAACCAGAATGTATATGGTTTAGGGGTGGGGATCTTAACCCCTTACATTAGAACTTTCTTAAATGGCAGGGGGTGGGGGTGACCCCTGGGGACTAACCCTGTATATCATTCAAACCATCTTGGTATGACAAACCAGAATATATATGGTTTAGGGGTGGGGATCTTGACCACTTACAAGATATTAAAACTTTCTTAAATAGCAGGGGGTGGGGGTGACCCCTGGGGACTAACCCTGTATTTCATTTGATGTGCTTTATCATGACAAACCAGAATATATATGGTTTAGGGGTGGGAATCTCGACCATTTACAAGATATTAGAACTTTCTCAAATGGCAGGGGGTCTGGATGACCCCTGGGGACTAACCCTGTATATCATTCAAACCATCATAGCATGACAAACCAGAATATATATGGTTTAGGGGTGGGAATCTCGACTATTTACAAGATATTAGAACTTTCTCAAATGGCAGGGGGTCTGGATGACCCCTGGGGACTAACCCTGTATATCATTCAAACCATCATAGCATGACAAACCAGAATATATATGGTTTAGGGGTGGGGATCTTGACCACTTACAAGATATTAGAACTTTCTTAAATAGCAGGGGGTGGGGGTGATCCCTGGGGACTAACCCTGTATATCATTCAAACCATCTTGGTATGACAAACCAGAATATATATGGTTTAGGGGTGGGGATCTTGACCACTTACAAGATATTAAAACTTTCTTAAATAGCAGGGGGTGGGGGTGACCCCTGGGGACTAACCCTGTATTTCATTTGATGTGCTTTATCATGACAAACCAGAATATATATGGTTTAGGGGTGGGAATCTCGACCATTTACAAGATATTAGAACTTTCTCAAATGGCAGGGGGTCTGGATGACCCCTGGGGACTAACCCTGTATATCATTCAAACCATCATAGCATGACAAACCAGAATGTATATGGTTTAGGGGTGGGGATCTTAACCACTTACATTAGAACTTTCTTAAATGGCAGGGGGTGGGGGTGACCCCTGAGGACTAACCCTGTATTTCATTTGATGTGCTTTATCATGACAAACCAGAATATATATGGTTTAGGGGTGGGGATCTCGACCATTTACAAGATATTAGAACTTTCTCCAATGGCAGGGGGTCAGGATGACCCCTGGGGACTAACCCTGTATATCATTCAAACCATCTTAGCATGACAAACCAGAATATATATGGTTTAGGGGTGGGGATCTCGACCATTTACAAGATATTAGAACTTTCTCAAATGGCAGGGGGTCGGGATGACCCCTGGGGACTAACCCTGTATATCATTCAAACCATCTTAGCATGACAAACCAGAATATATATGGTTTAGGGGTGGGGATCACGACCATTTACAAGATATTAGAACTTTCTCAAATGGCAGGGGGTTGGGATGACCCCTGGGGACTAACCCTGTATATCATTCAAACCATCTTAGCATGACAAACCAGAATATATATGGTTTAGGGGTGGGGATCTTGACCACTTACAGGATATTAGAACTTTCTTAAATGACATGGGGTGGGGGTGACCCCTGGGGCCTAACCCTGTATTCCATTTCATGTGCTTTATCATGACAAACCAGAATATATATGGTTTAGGGGTGGGGATCTCGACCATTTACAAGATATTAGAACTTTCTCAAATGGCAGGGGGTCAGGATGACCCCTGGGGACTAACCCTGTATATCATTCAAACCATCTTAGCATGACAAACCAGAATATATATGGTTTAGGGGTGGGGATCTAGACCATTTTCAAGATATTAGAACTTTCTCAAATGGCAGGGGGTCGGGATAACCCCTGGGGACTAACCCTGTATATCATTCAAACCATCTTAGCATGACAAACCAGAATATATATGGTTTAGGGGTGGGGATCTTGACCACTTACAAGGTATTAGAACTTTCTTAAATGGCAGGGGGTGGGAATGACCCCTGGGGACTAACCCTGTTTACCATTTAATGGGTTTTATCATTTAGAACATTTCCAATAAAAAAGATTGTGTCTATCACAAACGGTTTTCAATTTATAATCATTTGAAAATTTAAAAAAATAAAATCCCATAGGGTTCTATAGTAAAACCCTCTTTTCTTTTTGCCCCTCAAAGTACCCCTTTATAAACCCCATTGCACAAACAAAACCCTGATTGCACCACTAGACATGTTAGTCTAACATATTGTGAAACCCTAAGTTAATCTGACAAGTGGTTTTGGAGAACGGGTGCGGACAAGTTCAAATTTAAAAGCGGCGGAAGAGGAAGAGGAAGAGGAAGAGGAAGAAGAATAATAATAATAATAAGAACTGAGCAAAAACAATAAGTCTTCCCAAACTTCGTTTGGGAGACTTAATAACAATGAAAAGAACACTTGACTTCATAAACTTGATATGTAAACTTTAGATGTTTTTCAGTTAATACAAAGATGTCTAATTTGTTATATTGAGTTATTATAAGATACTATTACCTTAATCTTTGACCTTGTAATCAAGCAAATGACCATGATCGAGCCATTTCTAAGCACTGTAGCAAGTTTTGTAAAGATTGAAAAATAAAATTGAAACTCTGCTTTGGTAAATAAGGTGTCAGATATTACTACATTATTTTACTTGGATGTAAACGGACACTAACAAGAATGCATGTGTTGTTGTGCTAAGCATACCCCCATTAATTCAAAGTACTGTAAAATAGGAAGTAGGTATCTAACAGATCCAAAAAGTGCTCGCATGTTACAAGTCATCACTGCTGACCAAAAAAGAAGTCATTCTGATCAGTAGTTTCTTAGAAAAGTGTGATGAAAAATTTTAAGTTCATTCAACACATTGAAGTATCTGCAAATAGGAAGTACTCTGACAGATCTGTAAAGAGCTCACATGTAACGAGTCATCACTCTTGAGCTTTGACCAAATATTAAGACATTCTGTTTAATAGTTTTTAAGAAAAGTATGATGAAAACTAGACATCATTGAGATGGGAGCAATCTCTGTGGGCCCACTGTAAATAACATGTGGTAAAAAATTTGTATGAATAAGCTGATATGAAGCACTTTTTAAGTTATACCCTCTAGTGTTGGTTAATATACATGTCTAGTATAAACTTTGAAATCATAACGGTTCTCAAGATATAGAGCAGACATGATCTGTACCATAGGACATGGGGTTGTCAACTAAAACCAAAGTTTTTGACCTTGACCTTTGACCTAAGAAGTTGTACATACATTATGACACACCCTCTGGTGTTGGTTAATATACATGTCAAGTATAAACTTTGAAATCATAACGGTTCTCAAGATATAGAGCAGACACGATCTGTACCATAGGACACAGGGTTGTCAACTGAAACCAAAGTTTTTGACCTTGACCTTTGACCTAGGATGTTGTACATACATCATGACACACCCTCTGGTGTTGGTTAATATACATGTCAAGTATAAACTTTTTATTTTATGTCAAGTATAAACTTTGAAATCATAACGGTTCTCTAGATATAGAGCGGACACAATTTGTTACGGACGGACTGACAGACTGATCACTATAGGGAGTCCTGCCATTAGGCGGGGCCCTAATAATTGTTGGATGAATGAATGGACAGACAAGGTGATTGCAGTATAGCCTCCACTGTCAAAGTTGGGGTATAATAACTATCTTGTACCATAATCAGAGTAACTTACCTCAACTTTCTCCATCACTCCATCTTTACATTTACACAGCACCGATAACATATCCATCATTAACTTGGCAGGATTGTTCATTTCATCGTCTGAGAAGTTTCCATCACTATACCCATAATATTCATCATGTAGATACAGATTACGGATATCTTTCCAGTATTTCTGGTCCTATAAATTAAAATGCTAATCAATGTGATGCAGGTCAAATACATTTGAATTCACAAGACTATAGTTTCACATTAGCAATTTAATCAATGCATCTCAACTGTAAGTGTCTCTTATCTATCTATTGGATGTACGTTAAAAATCTGACCAAATTTCAGTATGTTTGACCAACTGATAAAAAATTTACTAAATTGCTCTATCAGAGCCACAGCAAAAACTAATTGAGTGTTAGAAGTACAAATGTCTGAAGAATGCATACTAAAGATCCATTTAGAAATGAAAATAACATATAGTTGTATTTGTATTTAAGTATCAATTGTATAGCCAAGGTAGTCATTTTTTTTATTTCCTAACAAACTACATATTATTGTACTATGTTTTAATGGACTGTAGAAATAGAAACATGTACATTAAAGTCATTTTACTTGAATAAGTTTGCCAAAATTGAATGAAAATATCCCATATTTCAGCCAAATAATTTTGAGATGGGTACAATCTCTTGATGAGCCTACTAATGATATCCTTTATATTGATTCAATTTTTATCCTGACATAATTCTTTCAGATACTTATCATTTTAGGTATTATTCAATTATTCTACCATATAAAGATTAAAACTTTAGAACTTTTCTGAAATTAACAAACATTTATGCAGAAATGCTATTTATTTGTAAAACTTTCCATTTAAATAAAGAAATATATATGTTTTAATCATATAGTTATAACTTTACTTTTACAAATTGAAAGTATTTCCCAACTTAAACTTTGCTTTATGAAAGGGAGATAACTCAATTTTTTTTTTTAAGTTTTATAAATTTATTTGTTTTCTTAAGTAAATGAGTACAGTGACTCTTTTTTCATTTTAATGTTCCGAAAGCATAATATCTAATGTTTAATTTAAAATTTTATCAATCAGTATTCTTTCCATTCACATAATAGAGCTGTTAATTAAATTGTTTAATCCTTACATAATATGAGATTGTGCATTACCTGTAGCTTGAAACCAAGCTCAGTCAACTTTACTTTTTATCATATTTTTGAAAAAAATTTAAACTACAGTTTGGGAAAATATTTATCATTCGTGAGGTTCAACATAATTTATTATTTAACCTTTATAACATTAACAAAAAACCTGAATTATTATGTTAACTTCAAAGTCATTACATATCTGTAGCCATCTGACTGACAAACTATAGACTTATAAGTTTGATTCTATTTTGTTTGAAATTCCTTTAAAAATAGAAATTGTGTCCAGATTTGATTTAAATTAACCTTACCACACTCTGTAACCTATCAAGTACTTCTTTAGCACAAAAGTATGCACCATAATCAAAATCTTTCTCTAGTATATCATGGAAGATATCAAACAGGCTTTTTATAGCGTCCTGCATCTTTCTTATGTTGGCTTGCTTGAACACCAGCATGTTTAACCTGTTTAATCTCTGGAGTAAAAAAATATTAACAAATATTTAACTAAAACTTTCAAATTCAAAATATTTATACTGATCACCATGTGGAGTGTTAGTATTGAAACTTTATTGATAGAAGTATGGTATATACCTCTGATTAGCCACAAAAGTTTATGTTCTAACTATAAGTATCAAATACTTGTAAGTCAAGTGAAATGTATTATGTATTTTCACAAATGACTGGATTAAAATTCATTGACATTGATTTACACGTTTGGTAAATTTGTGCCACTTTAAAAGTGGAGTTTTTTACTTGACTATTTGCGGGGCCTCGTAAAACAACTTTCATTTTTTTTGCCACTGAAAGTGGAATGTTCTTTAATTAGGCTTTTTGTCCCTTCATGTTGATAGGGCATTTTTAAAGTTAATTATTCCAGTTCTTGTTGAGTATAATAGTATTATGTTTTTATACAACCCACAAATTGTAATGTCAGAACTCCTTCTTACCAATACTCTTTTATTTTACCTGAAACTCCCAATTTACACTTGTTTTTTTTCATTCAAAGTTTTTCTTGTGTGCATAATTAGGATAAAACCTTGTTTCAAATTCATTAATTAATATCGTCAGACTAAGTGCAGTCACAAGAAACAGCCTAGCCTAAAAGCTACTTGAATATACAGAAAATATTTGACAAACACTTATTTAAAAGCAAGATATTTCTTTTTACTTTCACAGTTTGAGCTCATTAACTATGTGAATGAAATTGAAAAAGACAAAATAATGTAGCTTCCTTTCTCATGCACATATATATTGGCTACATAAAATATAAAAACGTTGGAAACAATATAATTGAATGCTAATATCTTACTTCAGTATCCATGTTGATGCTGTCGTAATATCTTACCTCGGTATCCATGTTGATGTTGTCGTAATATCTTATCTTACCTCGGTATCCATGTTAATGCTGTCATAATATCTGACCTCGGTATCCATGTTGATGCTGTCGTAATATCTTACCTGGGTATCCATGTTGATGCTGTCGTAATATCTTACCTGGGTATCCATGTTGATACTGTCGTAATATCTTACCTCGGTATCCATGTTGATGCTGTTGTAATATCTTACCTTGGTATCCATGTTGATGCTGTCGTAATATCTTACCTCGATATCCATGTTGATGCTCTCGTAATATCTTACCTCGGTATCCATGTTGATGCTGTTGTAATATCTTACCTCGGTATCCACATTGATGCTGTCGTAATATCTTACCTCAGTATCCATGTTGATGCTGTCGTAATATCTTACCTCAGTATTCATGTTGATGCAGTCATAATATCTTACCTCAGTATTCATGTTGATGCAGTTGTAATATCTGAACTTCACCTTGGTAATAAAAGTCTAAAATAGTAAGGAAAAGATGGTAATCATGCTGTGTTGAAAACATTTGTAAAAATTCACCATACTTTTATCTTCATCACATGTATGATCAAATTCCCTGATAATTAAAAACTGTAAACCAAAACTGAGACATAGGATTACAGTAGATACTGAGACATAGGATTACAGTAGATACTGAGACATAGGATTACAGTAGATACTGAGACATAGGATTACAGTAGATACTGAGACATAGGATTACACTAGATACTGAGACATAGGATTACAGTATATACTGAGACATAGGATTACAGTATATACTGAGACATAGGATTACAGTAGATACTGAGACATAGGATTACAGTAGATACTGAGACATAGGATTACAGTAGATACTGAGACATAGGATTACAGTAGATACTGAGACATAGGATTACAGTATATACTGAGACATAGGATTACCGTGGGTATTGAGACATAGGATTACAGTAGATACTGAGACTAGGATTACAGTAGGTAATGAGATATAGGATTACAGTAGATACTGAGACATAGGATTACAGTAGATACTGAGACATAGGATTACAGTAGATACTGAGACATAGGATTACAGTAGATACTGAGACATAGGATTACAGTAGATACTGAGACATAGGATTACAGTTGATACTGAGACATAGGATTACAGTAGGTACTGAGACATAGGATTACAGTAGGTACTGAGACATAGGATTACAGTATACGTAGATACTGAGACATAGGATTAACGTAGATACTGAGACATACGATTACAGTAGGTAATGATACATAGGATTACAGTAGATACTGAGACATAGGATTACAGTAGGTAATGAGACATAGGATTACAGTAGGTACTGAGACATAGAATTACAGTAGATACTGAGACATAGGATTACAGTAGATACTGAGACATAGGATTACAGTAGATACTGAGACATAGGATTACAGTAGGCAATGAGATATAGGATTACAGTAGGTAATGAGATATAAGATTGCAGTAGGTAATGAGATATAGGATTACAGTAGATACTGAGACATATGATTACAGTAGGTACTGAGACATAGGATTACCGTGGGTATTGAGACATAGGATTACAGTAGGTACTGAGACATAGGATTACAGTAGGTACTGAGACATAGGATTACAGTAGATACTGAGACATAGGATTACAGTAGGTAATGAGATATATGATTACAGTAGATACTGAGACATAGGATTACAGTAGGTACTGAGACATAGGATTACAGTAGATGCTGAGACATAGGATTACAGTAGGTACTGAGACATAGGATTACAGTAGGTACTGAGACATAGGATTACAGTAGGTACTGAGACATAGGATTACAGTAGATACTGAGACATATGATTACAGTAGGTAATGAGACATAGGATTACAGTAGGTAATGAGACATAGGATTACAGTAGGTACTGAGACATAGGATTACAGTAGGTACTGAGACATAGGATTACAGTAGATACTGAGACATAGGATTACAGTAGGTAATGAGATATATGATTACAGTAGATACTGAGACATAGGATTACAGTAGGTACTGAGACATAGGATTACAGTAGGTGCTGAGACATAGGATTACAGTAGATGCTGAGACATAGGATTACAGTAGGTACTGAGACATAGGATTACAGTAGGTACTGAGACATAGGATTACAGTAGGTACTGAGACATAGGATTACAGTAGATACTGAGACATAGGATTACAGTAGATACTGAGACATAGGATTACAGTAGGTAATGAGACATAGGATTACAGTAGGTAATGAGACATAGGATTACAGTAGGTACTGAGACATAGGATTACAGTAGATACTGAGACATAGGATTACAGTAGGTACTGAGACATAGGATTACAGTAGGTACTGAGATATAGGATTACAGTAGGTACTGAGACATAGGATTACAGTAGATAATGAGACATAGCATTACAGAAGGTAATGAGACATAGGATTACAGTAGATACAGTAGTGGGACATAGGATTACAGTAGGATATATTCATGGTGATACATATCAGGGAAGAATTGATTAATTTTTCAGGGTCCAGGAAAGAATGCTTGATTTTTTTGGAATTCAGGATTCAGTTATTTTTTTGGAGCGAATTCAGGATGACCCCCACCCCCTCCTCTTTCATGTGTCCAATTCAATGTAATCATTATTGACTTACTTTATGACATTGCTAGTACTAATATATTCTACTCTTAACAACTATTAGCATCAGTAAAATGTTATACATATGACTATAATGACACTATCAAATCCACAAATAAAGTCATTTTAAATATGCCTGAAAATCACTGGAAAAAAATTTAAACAAGAAATTTGGTTAAGTATACTTAGCAGAAGAAAAAAATAGAATTTGTTTTGCTTATAACGTGCTCTCATCGCAAAAATAATAACAAAATAAATTCAAATCAAATCAAAACCCAATTCTGCAAATAATAATTGACATTTAGACATGACATAAGATAACAATTGACTTTGAACAGTCATATAAATATGTGATGGGGTTAACATCAACCAGTGGACTAACAAAAGGCATTTAAAATTAACATAAAAATCAGCACAGGAAAGGCACTTAACTCTAAAAGAACAGTACAGAGAATGCTGTTCCTGAAAAGCTCAATGTACTTAACCAGCTGATATGAAATCATTTGTCCTACTATTATCAGATGCTGTAACTCAGAGTGATTTCATAAAGCAACATGACAAACAGCGCAGGATGACACAATCTTGTGGAAATCCCAGAACTGGACAAAATTTGATGCAGATAAATAAAAATAAACATATAAGTCTTGCTTCAAACTATAAATCATCAAAAAGATGTTCATGCATCCCCAAAGATATGAGATTGAGTGATGACATAACAGCAGTAAAAATGATAACCTTTATGATCTTTTATCAAAAAGTATGTTAAGTTCTACTTACTTTATAGTCATCAATAGGTCCTTAATGTGAGGGGAAGTATGAGAAGAAGACAACGAATAAAGTCTTCCAAACTTTAATCTCATAGTTTTTGTAAATTGTTCAGTATTAGATATAACAAAACAATTTATGTGTAATAAAATCTAAACATAGCTGACCTTAAATTAAGACATTAAGTCCATTCCAAAAATAAATTATTTCCAAATAAAGTTTAAAAATTTCCTTGAAGAACAGATCATATTAAGTACAAATTTAATTGGATTTTCAAATTATCATCAATTAACTTTAATTACCTTATTGAGGACTCCAGGTAAAAAAAAATAAATATTTATTTAAAATCACTATTATTGGGATGAGCTATGAAATTTGGTAAACTTTTATGGTCACTTTGAGTGTAGTTTATGACAAATTATGTCTAATATCTATGCCTGGTCAACCTTTCGCATTGAAATCCAACAATATATAACTAAATAGTATCTAAAGTGATTTGGCAGTTAAATCATAATAAAGCCTTAGAACTTTTTAGATCTGATTCAGATGTATATATTTGATCTTTAACTACTATTTCTTTCTTTCAATTAATATACAAATGATTATTTAGTGAATAGCAATTTTGAATGAACATAAAACAAATGGAATTTTTTTTTTACAAAATTTACCTCTGGATACTATCTTATGATCATAAACAAGCTTCTTTCCAAGTTTGGTAGAAATCCAGGATAGTTTAAGAAAGTTATTAAAATTTCAAAAACTTTAACCACAGAGTGAATGTAATGTTTCCTGGTAGAAAAACTAAGTCCATTTATAAGTAAAATACGGAAAAAATGGATTTTTTTTTTTACAAAATTTACTTTTGAATATAATCTTATGATCATAAACAAGCTTCTGTCAAAGTTTGGTAGAAATCCAGGATAGATTAAGAAAGTTATTAAAATTTGAAAAACTTTAACCACAGAGTGAATATTTGTGGACGCCGCCGACGACAACAACGACGACGAAGACGCCGACGGAATGTAGGATTGCTATGTCTCGCTTTTTCGACAAAAGTTGAAGGCTCGACAAAAATTGTATCAGAAAAAAAAAATTGAATCGTAATTTCCTGTCAATATGCACATCTACATAGTATGTCCTTATTATCTACACAGTTTCATGAAATTCTGTTGTGTGGTTTGAGAGGAGTTGCGATGACAAAAGGTTGCAGTAGTATATTGGGCAAATAAGTTCAAAGGGGAGTAACTCCTGGAAAAAAAATTGAATCGTAATTTCCTGTCAATATCCACATCTACATAGTATATCCTTATTATCTGAAAAGGTTTCATGAAATTCTGTTGTGTGGTTTGAGAGGAGTTGCGATGATAAAAGGTTGCAGTAGTATATTGGGCAAATAAGTTCAAAGGGACGTAACTCCTGGAAAAAAAATTTAATCGTAATTTCCTGTCGATATGCACATCTACATAGTATGTCCTTATTATCTGAAAAGGTTTCATGAAATTCTGTTGTGTGGTTTGAGAGGAGTTGCGATGACAAGAAACAGGACTGACGGACGGACGGACAGACGGGTCAAAAACATTATACCCTCGGCAACTCGTTGTGTGGGGTATAATAAAACAGATTTTTATGCTGTTTATTGAATAAAAATCTGTAAGAGGGATGTAATAAAGAGACTATAATTGTCTAAAGGGTATACATGAGATACTATTGTAAACTGAACTACCTTCTACTGAAGGTCACAATACCAATCCTCAAAAAACATCAGTAACACAATGGGTACTACCAGGGGAGAAGGAACTTATTACCATTACAGAAAACATGAGTTTAATTACAGATTTATCAGTAACACAAAGGGTACCATCAGGGGAGAAGGAACTTCTAACCACTCCAGAAAACATGCGAGTTTATTTACTGATTTTTGTGGAGTTTGTGTTGTTCAATCTGTTGCTCACTCAGACTTTTGTTTGTCTTTCTAACAAACCAATTTGATATATTCAGGATCATGCCTTTTAAAATCAGACCAAAAAGACAATGAATCTCTGGTTATTAATTCTTTTAATCAA